ACATTAAATACACATTCAAATCTTAACATGATAAAGTATTTACAAAATGTAAGGCTTAATAAATGTATTAAGTATTTAGAGGAAAATGCATTTATTTGAAAAATCATAATGAAAAAATATTCAAATATATTGTTTAAAACAACATAAAAATCTTGAACACCAGAATTAAAATCTTAATTGCAGCCTCATCATTTTCTTTTTCTAAAAACGTTCTGTTCCTTTTTCCTTGAAATGGCAGTTCTCATCAAATTGTTGGTCTACTTGATTTTTGGAAGCAAAATCAGCCAAACTGTCATAAATCTGACCTCCAACCTCATTTGAAGAATTCAAAGTCTCTGTGAACATCTGCAGGAGCTCTGCAGACCCTCTCAGSTCAGACCTGGTCAGACAGATGTGAGGACCATGGAGCAGGATCAGCTGGTGGCTTTCATCATCWGTTACTGAACCACTGCATGCGAAGAGTAAAATCAGTTCAAGTTTTCATTACTTCTGTGCACAAAATTCAGTTCTCCAAGAAAGGCATCTTCTCACACAGGTGGGGGGTCTGGGTTTCTCCCCCAGGAAATTTTGATGAAATTAGATCCTGTTTCCTGCATTCTGGAATATTTTAACAGGTTGCTAAYCATATTAAAGTAAACACTTGATTTCATGACTATTTAGTATGAATGTTTGAATCATCGTGGTACAGTATATTATGTCTGTGTTTCTATTGTGTTGAGGTAACAAACGGTTTAAGGCAATCAGTTTCCTCAAATGAATTGAGTAGCTAGAAGTTGTGACAACTAGAATGTTATAATTTCATTAGAGAAATAAAACTGAGTAACATAAGCTGAATTGGATCATCTTTAAAGGAGACCAATTATGGGTCCTAGAATTTTTTATGGTATGTCTGTGGGCTATCCAGACCATGTTCATTAAGTTTAATGCACAAAATAATTCTCAGATAATAAAATTTCCCATTTTCTAGTTCTGCCTGCTCTGACTTCTGTTCAGAAGAGCTGTTTATGTTAATGAGCTCTGTTGGTAACGCCCTCCAAAAATCTGTTAACATTAATTCCGCCCTCCAAAGCCAGCGTTTACGTGAGAGACCCAGAGGCAGAGTCGTGGTCGCAGCTTCTTTCTTTTTTTTTCTCCCCCTCCTCTGCTCTGCTCTCACTCTGCATGCTGTTACCAGAGCAGGGAGCAGCAGTGGTCAAAATACCTCAGAAACTCAAACAAATAGGCTTTAACAAGGCTTTAATAAG